TGAAGGTCGTTGATCTTAACCTGATAATGTTCTTCATATAACCCCACAAGAAAAAAAAACAGTGGGGTTTAATCTGGCGACCTAGGAGGCCAAGCGATTGGTCCACCTCTGCTAATTCATATCCCAGCCATCTCGCTGTAAAGGTGATTCCTAACATGGTGGCAAAAATGTGGCGGCGCATGCGCGTAAGTCGTGTGTGACAAAGAAAACTTCCAGAGTTTTACTTTCCGAAGACATAAACCGGATACGCGTATGACAATTAGTTTCCGAGAAATATATTCATTTGTGGATACCTTTCATCCGGATACTTGACAGACTTAGGTTCACATTTTAACAAAACCACGAGGAAAACACAGTTATGGTAGTTTGCCTTAGTCTTTATGTATTTACTATAGAAAAGCAATGGGAAGATCAGAAACTGAGAATTGAACGGAATCAAGTATTCCCTTAACTAAGTCTGCTCTTAATTTCTTCGTGGATGTAATTTTGACTTGTTACTGTCTTTCTCAGAGCAGAATATGTTCCGGCTATCTTCATATGTTGACTCTATCCTGCATTCAGGTGATGAGATATAAAAATATAGCTCAAAATTTCCTCTGTTTAGTTCTGTGCCATGCACCTGTTACAATTTCTATGCTCCTCTATATGGTATTTATGTTTTCGCGGAGCATATTAACATCAAAATGGAGGCAAATAAAGCACGAAAGTCTGTGACGATGATATATGAATATCCTGTCTTTATTTAAAATACACAACATTCCGGAGACGGGATTCTGCCCCCGTCTTCAGGCGAAACACTCGCAGACGACTTGTGCTGTACTTGATTTATTTAGCCTATTGTTGTTGGTGCTGGACCGCCTCTGTGGTCTAGTGGTCAGAGCTCCTGGCTACAAATCCAGAGATCGCGGTTCGATTGCCGGCGCTATCAGATTTTCTTAGGAGTAGTGGGTCTGGAGCCGGTCACGGTAGCCGAGCGGTCTAAGGCATGTACTGTCTTCGCTCGCTTGGAAACCGGGATCGTGGGTTCAAATCCCACTCAGGGCATGGATGTTTAGTTTGTGTGTGTGCGTTTTTCTGTGTTTGTGTACAGGTAGAGGCCTTGCGACGAGCTGATCACCCACCCAAGGAGTCCTACCAAATGTGTAAGATCTAGAAAAATCGAAGTTAACGGAGAAGTTCATGGAGGTAGGCCTAGGCCCACTGGGGCTGTAGTGCCAAGGAAAAAAAAAGTGGGTCTGGAACGGGTTTACTGAGCCTCGTGGAGATAAATGAGCTGTTTCAAGGAAATAGCGGCTCCGGTCTAGAGAACCGAGATTAACGGCCGTGGGGATCCGTTGCGCTGACCACGCGACACCCTCTATCCGCTAAAGTTGACACTAATTTCACCGACATGAGGTGGTCGCTAGGTCGGTATAGTTCGCTTGCGGACTGAAACTACGGAGTTTATTTGTATTTGTGTTGACGGTGGTGTCTGGAGATAAGGACTAATTGTATCGACTGGGTCCAACTGAGTAGGTTACACCTGAGGACGGAGACAGAATTCACTCTCCAAAACGGTGTGTTTTGAATAAAAACAGGAGAATAGATAATGTCCAGAAACACAATAATTGCATAAATTGGCGCGTTTCACATGAACTTCAATGTCTCTTAGCGTTCTTAAGTGTTTCTACTGGCGTATTATCAACGAAACTGAAAGGCAGTGGTGATAACCCATTTCAATTTTACAGACCATTCTGAACAGGAAACGTATCACATAAATTTAGAATATCAAAAATCCACCGCCGCGATGGAAACGTCCCATCTCTCATGTTTCCGATAACTGAATACCTACAGGGCCTAGGGCTTTATTACAGATTTCTTTCAAACGGGATTTAATTAATCTAACTAAATAAAAAAGACAAAAAGGGTAAAGTTACGCCATGAATGCGCATGGGTGAACGGATGTATAGGTCGAAGTTTTCTTGACCTTAGCACTAGTTGGAGGTGAATGGTCAGCTTCACTCTCCGTCCACTTTACTCCTGGGGAAAGCTCCCCCAGTACCAATTGGAGAGGAGGCTGGGTGGGCCCCAGAGCTGGTCTGGACGACATCGAGATCAAAAAATTCTTGACTGTACCTGGGCCCGGACTCCGACACATCGGTCGTACAGCCCTTAACCAGCTGTAAAATATTTCTCCTGAGATGCGAGCCTTCTTTAATTCTATAAACAGCTGATGTACTGACCCATACCATTTCTATATTTTTTTCCCACTATCTGACGAATGCACAATAACTGATCTGTAATTGATTACTATTATTTCGGTTCAGGGATTACAGAAACAATCTGTCTGTGTTTATCGGTGTCACCTCCATTAGTTCTCTCGGATTTCTTTTCCATTCTGTGACAAATTTTAATTATCACGAACATCGAATTGATACAGCAAGCGACTATTCAGCACCCATTGCCTCCAAGCAAAAATGGCAAGAGACGAAGTTGCATCTCTTTGTGTTCAGGAACAGGTGGACAGAGGAAGTGACGGGCAACAGCACTCCGTGTTAAGCAATCCTTGAACCAATCCCAGGGCAGGCTATCTGGTCTGGGATTTTGTGTTTCCTTACTCTCTACACACGAAACGCAAGAAGCGGCTTAAAACGAAAGCCCCTTCAGCATTCCGAAGCACCTCCATCACTTACAGCGAACCATAGATTAGTCGGGACTCCGTGGTTTTAGTCCGTAAGCGAACTATAGCGACCGAGTAACCGCCGCTTGACGGCGAAGTTAGTGCCAACTTTAGTGGATAGAGGGTGTCGCGTGGCCAGTGCAACGGTTCCCCACGGATCTCGGTTTTCTAGACCGGAGCTGTCATTTCCTTGAAATAGCTCCTCAATTATCCTCACGAATCTGAGTGGACCCCATTCCAGACCCACTGCTTCTCAGAAAATCTGGTAGCGCCGGGAATCGAATCTGGACCTCTGGATCCGTAGCCAGGAACTCTGACCACTGAGGCGGTCGATTAGTCTGGACAGAGTCCGAAAAATTACCTACATTGCTGCTATTCAAACTACCTATATTCATTTCTTGTTTAACTTAGGGAGGTCACTGAAACTAAATTAACCCCATTTTCGAAGTTTGGAGTCAATGTTGCTTGCCTAATGATCAGTCCTAACTCCGAAACACTTCGGACAAACAGTTTAATATTCCTGAGCTCAATATAAAGGATGAATATTTGTGACCTTATATGAAAACAGTAAAAGGCTATTGCGACTTCTCAGAAAGGTCTGATGCCTTCAAGAAAGGAAATTACCGCGAAGTCATATTACATCTAGTCGTTCATGTGATGGCGTGCAGACAACACACTGAAGCAAACACTGAACATTTTTTCGAGGGTCTCTTACTGGAAATTGCGTCATTCCACAAGAACAATGTACATAAACTTGCATTCTACTGCCACTTGCTTAACATTACTAGATCGAAGTTCCCGGAACTTCAGAACAAGGTTCTTACATGGTTGATTTATTCGCTTAGGTTAATAGTTTTCATGTAGCCCGATGCGGCTTTCGTAAGTTGACAACAGAAAATATCTCGCCGTGCAACACAAAATTCCACTGCTCGAGCGCAATGGCATACAGCAGTACAATATTTATCAATCCATGGCAAATTCCACCTATCAGCATACATTGGGAGTAAAATAATGTTTTCTTATAATTTGTTGAAGATATAACTAGGAAAACTGCATTTTTCTTCCAGCGCTACCAATTTCCTACAAAAAGAGAATGTGAATTTTCGGAGTCCGCATGTAATGCCAGCACCTAACTGTGTAATTAGTATTTATTAACTGGTCATATGATCAGTATACTTCAAGTCAGTCAGGTTATTAAGCATTTTCAACCAACTCAGTAGAGCTGATTCCTTCTTGAGAAGCCAACAATACTAAGCCACTCAAGAAGTCCCCAGTATATTATGGAACACGAAAGTTCATCACCATGTTCACAAGAGTCCTCCACTGGTCCCTATGCATAGTTAGAAGAATCCAGTCCACAACTTCACATTCTACTTCGTGGAAATCCATTTTAATATTATTCTTCCTTTTATATCAAGGTACTGTTAGTGGTCAACTTCCTTCAGATGTTCCAAATAAAATCTTCTTTACCTGCCTGTCTCATATGTGCTACAGCCATCCTATTCTTTTATCATTCTAATAATATTTGGCGAGGAACACAAATTATGAAGCTCCTCAACGTGAAATTTTTTCCAGAGTCCTGTTATGTATTAATTCCTCATAAAGTATGAAAGGAACGCCGTATATGAAGGTCATGTCCATCTGTCTGTCTGTCTGTCGTGACGTGAAATCAGAGCCTAAACTGCTGGACATATTCCCATTCCTTCGTTCGATAAGGGATTTATTTACTAAGATCTGCTGGGAAATTTCGATTTTCTGCGACGTTAAAAAAGGTAAAACTATCCCCGTAACAGGCTGTGGAGGCTAAGAGGTTCCCACATTTTCTAGCCATTCGGCTCACAGATGGCTGTGAGATTGTCAGTCTTTCGCGCCAGCGGCCTTTTTACCCCCAGGAAGATTCCTCATACTCATCTCTGTTAGAGGCTGAGTCAAACCCAAGGTCATGGCGCGGCTGCAAAGATTAGGTAAATTGAAAAATCCATGAAGCAGTGGCCTTCCGGCTTGTAGCATAGTGCTTCAATCATCTACTCTACCGTCTGCATATTCTGCGTTGTTAATCTACAATACATTTCATTGTAAGATGGACATTTTATGTAGGCCTGTAATGTTGCTTATATTATGTTATGGGGTACAGTCTTACCAATCCCTTCCCTTCTTTGTCAGCTAGTGTTCCTACCTGTAGTGTTCTGATTAGAACCTGCCCTGACTTTTACAATCACACCCCACCTGAGGGATTCGGCTTACTATATGCGACAAACCGGTACTGACTATTAAAAATTAACATGAACACAATAATCTTCTTCTTAGCAATACCGTTACTGTGCTACCTTAATTTACTTACTCGTGGTGAGTTGTGGTATCTGAGCTGTTCGGATTAAAGCGGGCAGCAGGGCGGCCACCTGTAACAGAAGAAATATTTCCTACTGAAAAAGATCATCTTATTTGGACATGACGCCCGAAAGCCGGAATAGCGAAGCCAGAACAGATGTTCATGGCTAGGCAACGACTCGATAAACACATTCTCTCGGCAGCGGATACGCAAACGACAGCGGCCTCCGTAGTCTAGAGGTAACGTTCCCACCTCATGACTCGTAGTACGCGGGTTCAAATACCCGGCGGAGGTCGTCGAATTTTTAAGGGCGGAAAAATTCATGGAACAAGTCCTCCGGGAGGGACTTTAAGCCGTGGGTCCCGTGTCGTAGCTTTACGGCATGTAACAGAACCTCATATCTCCAAAGGAGGTCACTGAGCCAAATTAACGGACGTTTCCTGCCCAACAGCAGTCTCTAATACCTCTGGTAGATGGGGGAAGCATTATAGATACCTCTCAGCTAGTAGAGCCGGTCTCGCTGGCTGGGCGGGACTGATGGTAAGCACCAGTACCGGTAGGATATAGAGACTGGTAGAAATCATAGAGGGAAGCACAATGGACCAATACAGGTCTCAGTGCATGGGGAAACCCACCCTCTCCAATAACTAACTAACTAACTACGCAAACGACAATCGAGTAACTTCCGTTGCTATGCAACGGCGCTGTAAAAACGCATTTACAACAATAGGGAGGCTGTGTTTTCTGTGTGGTCTGTGCAAGGTGGTTATAAAGAAGAATTTATTTGATAAGAGTCAGCGGAGTCGAGTTTCGAGAAGCTAGCCTGCCAGGACATGAGCTTGGGAACAGAGAAACTGAACTAGGTCGAGTCTTCGGAATTGGCAGTTGCTGAATAATGACAAGGAAAGAATTAGACTGTGAAAAGAAGATTTCATGTGTGATTTGAAGCGACAGTGAGACTTTATAAATCCGTTGCCAGGGTATGACCAGTGAAGGCTGAGAACCATAGTGCGTCTGTAAGTAATGGTAAACTATAAGGTGTGGTAATAGTGATAGCGCTGTATTGCCTGCAGTTTCAATTGGTGTGTACAAGGTGTCAATAAATCCAGTCATCCAATCCAGAACCCGTCTTATAAGCCACCTCTGCACGTGGCAATATTTCTGTCATTACTTCATTACAAATGCAGCAGCTCTTCAGAGTTCGTGTTTTAAGGCACAGCCTGTCAACTTCAGTTCAAAATACTCTTCCCACCTCTTCGTATCGCTAGCGGACAGGGATGCAAAACTCTCTGACCTCCCGTTTCCAAGTATTGCTACAACAACGAAAGCGAAGTTGATTTCTGGTCAGTCATAAGGATACGGGCCCGGACTCCGCTAAGACTGCTGTCCCTGGCGGCCGTATAAGGATACACGTTACGAAACGTATGACGTAACAGTTCTTGCCCATTCGCTTTAGCATTGCCTCTAGATATTCATCTGGTGAATGTTACTTCTGACACTCTGTTCCGAAACAGCGGAAAACAAGCGGAGTGGAGGTGCGGAGAGGCACAGTAATGAACGGGCATAGTGCTGTTCAAATACGTATTTAGGTTTTCGTGGAAAGAGCCACTTCTAATGAGCCGATGGTTACGGCTTTGAGACTGTTCTACATGGTGTAAAAACCTCCAATATAAATTGCCATCAAAATCAATCCTAACGTTTCTCGAAGTGTCCCTTTCTCTTACAATCACGAAACCGCAAGGAACAAGAAGTTCTGGGAAGAAATAATGGCATACTTTCCTTTGATACAGTGCAGACCGCATAGAAATCGACGCGTCCCAAAAAAATGTTATTGATGCGTGTGTGCTCGTTGCCGCGGTTAAGTTTGTTGCCGAGCTGATGCTTATCAACGATAGGGGTATACAAATGCAAACACAAGGACTGATGGGTCTTATGAAATACGCTGCTGAGATTGGCTCAAGCGCCATGACGTACGTATTAAGTTTCATAAAGATCGGTTGAGGCATTCAAATTTGTCAAGAGGGTACAACGGGCAGGAAGGAGATTACATAAGCCTACTTCCCCCTCCCCCCCCTTGGCACTACAGCCCCAGTGGGCCTAGGCCTACTTCCATGAACTTCTACGTTCCCTTCCGTTTTTCTAGATCTTACACATTCGGCAGGACTCCTTGGGCGAGAAGCCTAGTTTACGAAAGTAAACTAAAAAAAAGTGAACTTGGCATGACATATGTTTTCCACATTTCTCTGTAACTTTCATTCGAAACACTATTCACTCTGTACAGAACTGTAACCATCGTCAGAATCCTTTAAAGACTACTCACTCTAATAAACATTTAACGAATTATATTCGACATACGTACAGAAAAGCGGCCTCCGTAGTCTAGAGGTAACGTTCCCACCTCATGACTCGTTGTACGCGGGTTCACACCCGTGGTCGTGGTCGTGGAATTTTTAAGGGCGGAAAAATTCAGGGAACAAGTCCTCCGGGAGGGACTTGGAGGTCACTGAGACAAATTCAAGGACATTTCCCGCCCAACAGTAGTCTCTAACGCCTCGATAGATGGGGGAAGCATTATAGATACCGCTAAGCCAGTAGAGGCCGAACTTGCTGGCTTGGTCGGGACTGATGGTACCCACCAATATCGGTAGGGTATAGAGACTGGTAAAATATCATAGAGGGAAGCACAATGGACCAATACTGGTCTAAGTGCATGGGGAAACCCACCCTCTCTAATAACTAACTAACTAACTAACTAACTAACTAACTAACTACGTACAGAAACGCATGCAAAGCTTCCTGAAAAGTAGTTGTTACATGTGAAAATTTGAACCAAACTGGAATGCGATTATAAATTTTTGTCCAGTGCAAGACCCCAGTGAGCCGCGATATCTCAGTCGGTATGGCGACGTGCTACTAGCTGGAGAGTCGATGAATTGGGTTTTCATTTACGACAGGGACAAGATTTTTTTCTCTACGGCATCCATACCGGTTCTAGGGCTCTATTAACCTCCAACCGATTGGGTACCTGGGGCTCTTTCCCCAAGGGTAAAGCGATAGGGGTGTGAAGCTGACTACTCAACTCCATCTAGTGCCGAGGTAAAAAATGGTGGATATACCTACCTCCCTTCATACTTCTTTATGATGTGGTGTTTAATTAAGCATAGGGGAAACTTTACATTTCATAACTTCGCATTAAGAATTTCATGCAAATGATTCAGGCGGTTCAAGAATTATTTCATGGGGACCGAAATATGATGAATCTCATAGGTGCATTTTTTAACTTATACATACGAGCGCCCTAGTACACTGGCAATGCAGAAATTTGCAGAATTGGCGGCTGAGAAATCAGATACGTGACTCGAAGCCTGGCTGGTCATAACAATAGCCCAAAACAAAGTATTTGGGAAGGGAGTGGATGGTCAAATGGCATGATCGACTGAATAGCAACGACAATTGATGAATCATGCGTGCTATGTGAACGTCATCCTGTTTAAAAAGTTTATATGAAACTATATTGTAGAATTTTCCACAAATTATGACTGAATCATTTCATTTGTATGTTAAAATAAAATGACAACAGAACGAACAGTTAAATTTGTGAGATGAACCAGAGTGTTTCGAGGCATAAGGCGGCAGCGTACGTATCAAAAAAGCATGAGGACTTATAAGTAACAATAAAACGCACTGGATAAATATTGCCAGCGGAGCGAGAGCCGGCCAATACAAAAATTCAATCTATAAAGAGCTTCCACTCCTACTGGCATCGTCTTCCCCTACAATTTCATAGTTGGCTGTATGCAGAATACCGAAGTTCGATGAACCTATCGACAATCATCTCGACCCTCGCTCGACTTGTTCCGGGATGTTGAACAAGGCAGTCAGTTCAAGCCAATAAGCGTTCATCATTGTTTCGCTTCGAAATCCACCGGAGTCGCACCACGTTCGTGCAAATGCTCTCATTGGAGAAAGAAATCGAAATTTTCGAGTACTCAGCGCTGAGAAGAATGAGAGACCGTGGAACTGATTTTGTTGCGTTAAGGTAAGGTAAGGTTCTCCCTGTGTTTGAGCACCACTCCAAAAAGGCGTATGGGGGAACGGATGTACAGCTTCATCTTTATTGGCCTCGGCACAATATGGAGGTTGGTGGTGAGCTTCAGGCCCCAGCCGCTTTACCCCGAGGACAATATCCCCTAGCACCTATTCGATATGATACTGTGTGGAGCCCCAGAGTAGGTCTGGACGCTTTGGAGCAGAGAAAAATATTTGTCCACACTGGGAATAGAACCCCGGCCGTGCATCCCATAGCCCGTCGTTACACTGACAAAGCTCAGTCTACAAAATCAAATTTTAACAAGATTCGCAAGAGTGCACGGAGTATAAGGGAGGTGTTTTATATATACACATGAGTAACTGTAACTTAGTAGCTTGTATGTCGCTTATCTCCAAAATAAATTGTTACATGAAGAAATGCAGGCCTAACTGACATAACATATTGTCACGTGTTGGGTGTGTGACACGCGACAAGTAACTTCACGTCATCTTGGATCTAGCGAATTTATTGCACATTCGCTCTTACAGTCACACAATTTACAGTTTCACAACTACTGTCATCGGCAGTATCACAAACACTTCTCCTACTGTAGACACTGCCATGCACTCGATACAACCCGGCTCGGCGACTGCTAGATTGAAACTGACAGGATACTCTCTCTCTAGTAACTCACTCACTACTCACTCACGCGTAACTGGCTCAATCCTCACTACTGAATAGTGTTCGCTTCTCCTTATTTAGCCTCGGCACGGACAACACAGAAAACAGTTACGTGATAGGTACGCTGTTGCGTGACGCCGTGTTTACAGGTTGCCTAGCAACACTGTCGAGAGTTGTTTGCTGCTGTGTAGTAACCGCGGTATGCCTTGTTATGTCACCGCGGCAATGGTTGCCTGACACAGTTGATCTTCTGTTAGGTCACCGCGGGGGAGGGGATGTTTACCGAGCGTTGCGCACTGATGGAAGGAGTGGGGGTATGTGACGTCACTCGCGAGACCGCAGAGTTCACGTGACCCACA